ATATGTTGTTGATATGTATGTTTTTACGTAATTAACAAAAACATGCATTCCGATTCTTTTGTCTAGGTACTGTATATCTTGATATTGGGCTGCTATGCAAGTTAATTTTAGAGATAAACTTGTAATTTTTTGTATCTATATGTTTTTTATTTAGTGCATTCTAACAAATAATAATGAAAGTATCCCTTAGTATATAATTATATAATAAATTTACTAAATTATAAATATAATATCTTAAAAACTTGATCATTTTTGAGATTTTGACATTCAATACAAATTTTAGAAGTGCATGGAGTGTCCTTTTTACATTTTGTACTTTGAATTGACAGACCTTGAATTTGCCATTTTTATTGAATAAGTTCTTGCTCAAGACATTCTAGTTGATCAGATTTTAATTTTGAATATTTTATTTTTAAACCTATAGGAAAAAACCAAAGGAAATAGTTGGCGTGCTATTTCATGACACGGAGGTGCACCACCATGAGTTGCAGTAAGTTGTGTACGTTCAATATATGCTTTATACTTATCACCACAAAGACCAATGCATGGAAAAAATTATACTGATGACTGATTTTGTGTATTAATTTGAAAAAATTTAGTAATTTCTTGGGTGTTTTTCTTTCTTTTACACCCACCACTTTCTACATGCCGATTTATATAATCTTCATCATAAGGGTGCTTTAATTTTATTTTATTACCACGAATACATGTAACATTAGCACCATCTTCAGAAACTTTTCAAACATATTCATTGTTTAAAAGATGCTGTTTGGTATATTTTACCATTTTTATATTTTTTATTTATTTATAAAAAAGGAAAAAATTGTCACACTGCTTAAAAATTTACCCAAAATTCAAATACACCCTTACAAAAATTTCTTAAAATACCCTATTTTCAAATGTACCATATGAGGTCAATACCCAGTTTCAAATGTACCATTTGAGGCCAATACCCGCTTTTCAAATATACCATCATCAAAAAAAAAGGGTGATTCTACCCAAAATTGAAATGTACCATCTACTAAGATTGTTTGGGGTCCTAATCGGGTAGGTTTGTGTATACCAGAGTGATTTTTTTCTTCGATTTTACATATAAAATTATGCACGAATATTAATTTTATATATGAGTGACACTTGACCCCTGTAGAACCGCAATGTCCTGTGACTGTTACCTATTACCAGTTGATTTGTCACACAAGACGATTTCCATATATTTTTTCCTGAATAAAAATTACCTACAAACCTTAATTTTACCCTTTTTTTGTCCCTTCTCCTAGAAAAAAATAGGGAAGGTTTAGAAATGTGAATGTTATATATATAACATTTGAGGCATGCTGCAAAAAAACCAGACAAAGTGAACATTTGCACTACTAAGGATTTCAGGGATCAAAATTTAGTCACTTGTAATGTGATCATAATCAACAGTTTTTTAATGTCCCATTTGTTAAGTGATATATAGAACTGCCCCTAAAAATAGTTAATATGAAACTCATTTACATTAGATCTACCATGGACAACACCATTAGAAGTATTTAAAAAAGGAACAAGGTGAAAAAATTGTTCCTTATATTTTTAAAATAAATGATACTCAGGCAAGTAAATAAAATCTATTATCTTAGTCCATGTGAAGTTCATTTATTTGATATTCAAGATGAGTCAGTAAGAGAACAAATTAATTATGTTCTTAATGAAAATGAAATTATAGG